TGTTGGCTGATGGTCTTCTTGAGTGCTGTGTATCATTGCTAATCTTTGTCCAGATTTTCTATTATTTATTTTTCTTCTTAAAAATTTTTTTTAAAAAAGAGTTTATTTATTTGTGAGACACACACACACACACACACACACACACCGATGCAGAGACACAGGCAGAGGGAGAAGCAGGCTCCCCGTGGGGAGCCCGATGCGAGACTCGATCCCAGGACCCCGGGATCACGCCCTGAGCCAAAGGCAGATGCTCAACCACTGAGCCACCCGGGCGTCCCTGGGTCATACTTGTTAGAAATCAGTCTGCCGATGTCTGTCTTTTGTATGTTTTAGAACACTTCTCTTTCATGTAATTATTATGTCAGAGCATCCACTTGTCATGTTTTGTTGTGTTTCTTTTTCCTGCTTTCCTCTGTGTTAGTCAAATGCGTTTTTAAATTTTATTTTATTTTATTTATTTATGATAGGCACACAGTGAGAGAGAGAGAGAGGCAGAGACACAGGCAGAGGGAGAAGCAGGCTCCATGCAGGGAACCCGATGTGGGATTCGATCCCGGGTCTCCAGGATCACGCCCTGGGCCAAAGGCAGGCGCCAAACCGCTGCGCCACCCAGGGATCCCCGAACGCATTTTTAGAATTCAGCTTTGATGTATCGCTGTGCCCCTGAGTGCGTATCTTTCTCAGTGCTGCTTGAGGTTTTATACTAAAGACACGTAATGTCACATTCTGCTGTTGTCGACATGTTACCGGATAGGGCGAAGTGCAGAAACCCCACCTCCGCGGCCTTCAGCCTCACCCGCGACAACACGGTCTTGAATATTTCTTCTGCATACATTTGAGCCACACCAGGCAGTGCTGTCCGGCTTGCGTCCACCAGCACGTAGCGGAGAAGGGAAGTCAGTTTTATTCATGGATGTTTTTGCTTATGTTATGTCATTTCTTCCTCCCCTATGCCCAGATGCTTCCTTTTTTTTCTCCTTTTCTTTCTGGTTACAGGTCTTTCTCTTGGGGCCGGTCCGTTGGTGACAAGGCCTCCTACTTTTCCCTCTTGATTTCTTTCGTTCCCGAAGGGCTCTGGGTAGACAGTTCTTTTCTCTTGCACTCGAGAAGCCGGCCACCGTCTCATGGCCTCCACGATCCCCGATGAGAAATCTGCGATAATTCGAACCGTGTGGGCAATCTCTGTCATTCCGCCTGCAAGGTCACTAGGCTCTCCTCTGTTCTCTGCCACCTGTCGAGCTTTTTATTTCATTATTATTTTTTTTTCAGCTCCAACATTTGTATTTGAGTCTCTTTTGTACCTTTTATCTCTTTGCTGGCGTTCCTTTTTCTTCTTTCATTTTTTTCAGGTGTGTTTGTGGCTGTTTATCGAATGATTCTTACAATAGCTGCTTTAAAATCTCGTTAGGTGTGGTGATTATTCTGTTAATCGTGCTGTTGCTGTCTATTGATTGTCTTTATTCATTTGTTGAGATTGTTCTGCTTCTCGTGTGCTGCGTGATTTTCTTTTTTTTCTTTTGGAGATTTTATTTATGTATTTATTCATGAGAGACACAGAGGGAGGCAGAGACAGAGACACAGGGAGAAGCAGACTCCCTGCAGGGAGCCTGCCCGATGCAGGACTCGATCCCAGGACCCCAGGGTCACACCCCGGGTGGAAGGCAGATGCTCAACCACTGAGCCACCCTGGCGTCCCTAATACATTTATCTTAAGTCATGTTTTGGTGTTTGTGGGACGCTGGGAGACTTTGTAGGATCCACGTTCATGAGTTCGTCCTTTGGATTTCTGGCTTTGTGTTTCATTTTGCTGGTCAGAACACATCAGGCTTGTCGGCTCCTGATGCAGTGTTTACTGCTGCCTGGGGCTTTCGGGCTGGGTCTGAGATTGGACGTGGATTGCAGGTAATATCTTTATGATGTCAGAAAACTACTTTGTTCCAGGTTTTGCTGTTTTTAATCGGGGATGGGTGCTTGATCTTGCCAGATGGCGCTTTGCACCCTATGGGGAAGTTGTGTGCTTTTACTCTTGGTTATGTGTGTCGGCTTTCCGTACCATCCCTAATCTCGTGGGTGCAGCTGATGCTGAGCCCTGGTCAGAAGGACAGCCACAGCCTGTCCTTAGGAATTTCATGTGACAGTGGCTTATGCAAATGTGAGCACTCTTTCCCCCTCGTGTGCGGGTTCCAGGGGGCCTCCTTATGGCTGAGGTGGCAGGGCTGATCCATGCAGCCCTTCCAGGCCAGTCCCCATCTCTTCACTGGTCTGCCACTGCTGGTGTGTGGCCCTCGTCCTCGTGAATCGAGATGGTAGGTAGAGGACTGGACATCAAGACCATGTCCCCAGCAACAGAGGGTCAAAAGGAAGAACAGGCCGTCTTTAAGAGCCATTCCGGACGCTCTCACATGACCTTTCACCCCCTGTCTCCTGGGCCACATCTAGCTGCAAGAGCAGGCTGGATAACGGGGTGTTTATCTTAGGTCTCTGAGCCCCAGATGAAAGTAAGGGGCTAGACGGTTGTGCTAGTGGTGATGAAGGGATGTGGGAACAGCGGCCAGCTCTGCCCTGGCCTCACTTCCAGCACCAGATGCCACTGCCCAGCATTCCCAGCGTGGTGCTCTCCTGTGGTCTGTGGCTGACTCAGTTTCCCTGTCCTAACTCCACGGTGCAGGGCAGCTGATGGGATGGAGAGACCAGGTCCTGGCGGTGTGCCCTCAGCTGGGGTCCTTGGAGAGGGAGGGGTTCCAGGGCATTAGGAGAATACTGAACGGGGAGGAGGGTGTGCTGGGCCCGGCGGGTGTGGGGGGCAGCCTCCCTTGTTTGATCTGATGTAGCGTATTTGTAGGTGCAGGTGAGGGATTTAAGACCTGAGCCCTGAGCAGTGGGAATTGGAGGTGTGGCAGGCAAAGGGGGAGCAGGGTCTGGGGGGCAATGACCCCCTCACAGAGCACCTGCTGAGGAGGCTGTGCACCTGTCTCCCTGTCTGGTGTGATGGAATTCAGACAGGGCAGAGGTGCGATGCAAGGCCAGGCCACCGTGCACTTCTCCAGGGACCCTCCCTACGGGGCACGCTGGTGCAGGAGCCACCCCCGAGCCCCTAACCGCAGCTCGGCAGCCCAGGCGGCCCAGGATCGTGGGGCCCCGTGACGCTGGGTCTTCCCAGGAGAGCGTGAAGCCCCAGGTGTGTTCTGGGGCACCATTCGGTAGTGTCCTGGCCTCGTGCCTCGAGGCCCAGGGGCCATTTCCAGCAGCTTCCAGGTGTGTTCGTGTTGCTGATGCTGCCCTTGGCCTGTCCGTGAGGTGGCCTGGGTGAGGCCCTGCCCAAGCTCCCTCCACCACCGCCCACACAGTCTGGCACCCTCTGCCTGTGTCTCAGTCTCGCCCCAGAGGCCCCCGGCCACGGAAGGGGTCGGCGTCTGCTGGCCAGGCACCAGTCACACAGCCGCTCCCACACCCCGTGCGCTGGGGCTGCCCCTCACATGTCAGCCTGGACGTGTCCATGCATGGTGGCCGTGTGCTCGCCAGCACTCAGAGCCTCTCTCCCAGGGGTCCCAGTGCTGAGAGTGGTCACAGGCCATGGCAGTAGCGTGAAGTCCTGCCGCGGCATTGCAGTCTGTCCATTTGGCCGCCGTGGGCGTGGGTCTCAGGGCAGAGCCAGGCCTTGCTCGGGACACATGGTCCGTTACTCAGGTTGGCCTCGTCTGTCTGCTTGGCTCCACGCAGCATCTAGCGGCGCTTGGCTGGCCTTCCCCTCTGCGGTTTACGTGGAGACGCATGACCTGGGGAGGCTCCTGAGGGGTGTGGGCTCCATGTGTTAGGCCTGTGACGTGCTCTGTGGAATCCAGAGCAGACGGGTGAAGCCCTCACACCCCTGCCCCAGGCCTCCGAGGCCATCGCCCAGAGGCCCCCTGGGCTCTGGGGGACTCTTGTCACTGTGCCGCTCTCATCGTCCTCCTGAGGTCATCACGTGGGACGTGGCCTCACGGAATGGGGCTGTGGTCCAGGAGGTCACCCGATGCCTGCTGTGGGCTGGGGGATGCCGGGGGTCGGGGGCTTCACTAGAGCTGCTGCGTTGATGGGACAGGCTGCAGCTCAGGGCAGGGGTCCCGGAGCAGAGCCTGGGGCTGGAGGGATGGAGTGAGGGAGCGGCTTCTCTTGCCCAGTCTCTGCCGGGTTTGCTCTTCCGAGCAGGCTTCCTTCCTCAGTCTACTGGGATTTCAATGTGATCTCTTTGCTTCCCGAAGCAGGCTGGGAAGGGGAGCGAGAGGCCCTGAGGGGGGGGGCCTCAGATGCAGGTGTGGCCAGCTGTGGTGACGGGCCAGGGGGCTTGGGGGCGGGTGAGGATCCCTGGGAGGCGGAGAGGCAGAATGAAGCAGGTGGGGAAACTGAGTCCCCGGGAGAGGGATGGAGTCTCCTGTGCGGCAGGGCACCTCTGGAAAAGCCTAGATGTTTATTCCATTCTCTGAGAGGGAAGAAAACATCTGACCCCCAGAGAGAAGGAAGAAATCGGAAGATAGGACCGGGGGGAAATGCGACGCTGTGTACCAATCTCTGTGAGGTCACGGGACTCCCGTCTGTCCAGGGGGGCGGGTTTTACGGCTCATCTGGAGGTCCCTCTCGGGGCCGTGTTGGGCAGTGGGATGTGGAGTGAGGCCTGGCCATCCTGGTTGGGGCCGGTGGCGTTTCCTCCCTGTGACCTCTGCTCGGTGAAGCGGGGGCACGCGGTGTGGGTGGACGGTGGGTGAAGGTTGCCGTGGAGGTGATGCAGGCTCCTTGCCAGTGCTCCGGGAGCGAGTTTCCTGTGTAATGTCACTCCAGGCCTGGGCACAGGCTGCAGGGGCCCAGGGGCCAGGCAGGGTCTATAGCACCAGGCCGCCTGCTGCCTGTGAGGAGGGTCTGCAGCCCCTTGTGCAGGGCAGCTCCTCAGCACCACCTCGGTGGGGGTGATCGAGGACTCGCAGGGGAATCCTGCTGCGTCACACAGACCTGTCTCTCCTGTCCAGGAACGGCTACTTATGAGCCTTCTGCCCCGGAATGTTGCCATGGAGATGAAGGAGGACTTCCTGAAGCCCCCCGAAAGGATTTTCCACAAGATTTACATCCAGCGGCATGACAATGTGAGGTAGGGCTGATGCGGCCCAGGTGCTGGGCCTTGGGGCGCTCAGATGAAGATGATGGAGGTGGAGATGGAGGCGGTGGAGGCGGTGGAGGAGGGGGAGGAGGGGGAAGTGGTGGAAATGATGGAGGAGGAGGGGAAGAGGTGGAAGAGAAGGAGGAGGAGGTAGAGAAGGAGGTGGAAGAGGTGGAGGAGTGGAGGGGAGGCAGTACAGATGGAGGAGGAGGGGGAGGAGTGGAGGTGGAGAAGGAGGGGGAGGAGGAGGGGGAAGAGGTGGAAGAGAAGGAGGAGGGAGGAGGAGGAGGTGGATGTTGATGTGGTGGAGGTGATTTCCGGGTTGGGCATAATGGAGATAGTGAGGGCGATTGTGGGAAGTGATGGAAGTGAAGGTGATGGATATGGGGGCTGTGGGGGTTGGCAAGGAGGTGATTGAGACGGGGGGGGGGGGGGGTGTGATGTGGGAGGTTGCGGAGGAGGTGGTGAGCGTAAGGGTGAGAGATAATGGAAGTGACGGTGATGGAAATGGGAGGCGGTGGTGGAGGTGGAGGTGATGCAGGAGGTGAGGATTAAGTGTGAGGCGCAGGTAGTGGCAGAGGTGGGAGGCCTTGGGCAGATGGGGGTGGAAGGCCTCGATGTGAGGGGAGGAGGGAGCGGGTGTGCGTCAGGAGGCCCAGGTGAGCACCTGCTGGCCGGGAAGCAGGTCCCATGGAGGAGGGGTGTTGACCTCTTGGGTGATAGGTGTCACAGCTGCTCTTTCCCGCTGTTCCTCACCTCCCATGTCCTGCGTGGGCTGGGGAGGGTTGGCACTCTGTCTCTGAACTGGTTTGGGTGGTGGCATTTCAGCTGGATCTTGGCCCATGTCAGGATAACAGCTGAGCAATATTCCACTTGGTGCCAGGGCCTGGGGTAGGCGTCCTCTTCCTCCCCCGTTCCTCTCATGGCAGCCCAGGAGGTAGGGATTGTTCCCGTTTTACAGGTGATGAAGCAGCTTGCCCCAGACACGCTCTGAGGTTTGCTTGTTTTTACAAATCCTATCACAAAGAATTTTATTCTACTACATCGTATTTTCCCTTTTAAAGTACTTAGACTAGGGACGCCTGGGTGGCTCAGAGGCTGAGCGTCTGCCTATGGCTCAGGGCGTGATCCCAGAGTCCCGGGATCGAGTCCTACATTGGGGTCTCCACATGGAGCCTGCTTCTCCCTCTGCCTGTGTCTCTGCCCCTCTCTCTCTTTCTCTCTGTGTCTTTCATGAATGAGTAAATAAATAAAATCTTAAAAAAATAAAGTTCTTAGACTAGCTGAGTATTTCCCTTTATGTAAGCGTCAATCAGGCTGGTGATGGTGGTTGAGGCCCGGAAGCACCCTCCACCCCTGATATTCTTTGCTGGTCCTGGTTGGTGTCAGGCCTACCTGCCACTGGGCCTTTGCAGACACAGCAGGATAAAAACTCCCTCTGTTTGTATTGAGTGCTGTGGACTGAGTCTCTACAAGCTGTTGCTTGTCCGTCTAGGCTGAGCAAAGGACTGCTGCTGCCGCCAGCCCCTCTTCATCAGGGCCCCAGCCATCCCTGTGTGCGAGCCGGTGTGGCTAGTCGCTGTCTGGTGAGCATGCTCACTCCCACTGCTGTGCCTCTTGCTGAGGACTAGTGCTGTCCTCCTGTGGAGGATACTGAGCCCAATGGGGTTAAGGCCCCAGTGTGTGGGGCCAGCATTCCAGGCCAGGCAGCCCAGGCTCTGTCACCTCCACTTGGAGGTGGAGCCAGTGAGTGGTGGGGCTGGGGCAGCCTGGGATTGGCTGATGCTGATACCCACATAGACTTCCCATTCACACCACTGCCTCTCCTCAGTGGGTAAGGAGGTGGCACAGTGACCCAGCCCCTGATGAGACCAGATCACCAGAACAATCCAGGGAGTGCCCAGGGGGAGGGGTGTGGAGTGTCTGCACACAGCAGGGAAGGCATCAGATGTCAAGGACTTCCTGGGGCAGCAGGTGGAGGTGAGCATGGTGTGTGGTGCCCATGTGCCTCCCCCCTCTTTTCTGACTTGGGACAACAGACACAGGTGTGGAAAGTCACCATTTCCCTCTGATGTGAAAAATCTCCGCCCACATCCCCCGGCGGATGCCTCATTCCCAGCAGGTGCAGGTGTGACGATGCTGAGATAGGAGAGGGAGCTGAGGCCGGCTCCCTGTCCCTGATGGCACCAGCTCCACCATGGCTCCCCTGGCCACCCTTCAACAGGGTCAAAGGTGGCTTTGTAGAGCCCAGATGTGATCAGCTCACTGTCTTCCTCACCATCCTCGTTAGAGTCCCTCTCTGGTTCCCCATCATCCAGGATTAGAATCCCGAGTCAGTACACCATTCAGAACTAACAGGCTGATGTCATCAGGAACGGTGGAGTAAGGACATCTGAAAATCCTCAACTCCATAGAAGCAATGACAATACTGACAAAAACTGAGTCAACATTGTCAGAACACTGGAAATTAAGCAAAGCCTTGCAAGAATCCAGGAATGTTTATTTATGAAAAACAGCTGGATCCTGGTAAAAAACAGCAAGCTTTATAGAGTTCTAACTTACCCTGTTTCACTGTCTTTAGCTCCATGATAGCGTTGAAAACCAGCAGCTGCTATTACAGGGGAAACCTGTCCACTGACAGCCACCTGAGGGGACAGAATGGGGTCAGGGCTTTGAAAAATTCTCAGAGAACTGTCATCATTTGACTGCCTGGGAATTCCCTGGGAAACCTTGCTCACAGGCTTGTCTTTATTTGACCTGACTCAACACTCAGTTGGAACAGCTTTTGCCCTGGGACATTTGTTAAGAACAATCAGTGGCAAGTGTTTAACATCATAGCTGTCAGAGGCAGTGATAACAGCTGAGGCAAGCAGCAGGGCACTAAAATCTTAAAACTAGGGAATGAGATGTCTGTCAGGTGCTTTGAAAGGCTCTGGGAATGTTTCTGGGAATCAGAAGATCCCACTCACAAGTCGGGCGACGTGCATGTTCAGAAAAGACCATGATGACCCTGGGCTGTCGTTAGGTCTTGAGGCTGACCTTGAGCATGTGTGCAAGCAGGAAGAGCAGACTGAGACAGTTGGAATCTGCCTGGCTGAGTGCCCATCATCAAAGACTGAGAGACTTACTGGCTTCAGGAATGGGAGGAAATTTCTGTGTGGTCATTAGCTGACCACTAGCTTAACCAACCACAGACTTTAATGGCCCCACATGAGATAGGAAACAGACTTTTCAGAGTTTGTCAGAAAAGTCACTGAACAAATAACAACACAAATAGCAACAAGAACAACTTCAGTCCTGAGGTGGGGGGGGGGGTTGGTTCTGATTTTCAGAGTTGCCACAGTGTATTATCTGATTTTCCGTGAAAATATATGCAAGTGTGCAAGAAAGCATGAATGTATAGCTCACATGGGAATGAAAATGCAGTCCCAGAGGGAGCCCACACATTAGACTTCTAGACAAAACTTTAAGTCACATATATATATTTTTAAAGATTTTATTTATTTATTTGAGAGAGTGAAAGAGAGAGAACATGAGCAGCGGGAGGGGCAGAAGGGAGAGAGAGAGGCAGATTCCCCGCTGAGCAGGGAGCCCGACCCAGGGCACAGGGCTCCATCCCACGATCCCGGGATCATGACCTGAGTCGAAGGCAGATGCTTGACCCCCTGAGTCACCCAGGCGCCCCTAAATCACCTGTTTGAAATACTCTCAAAGAACAAACTGTCTAAATAAAGGAGAGCATGAGAAAGACTTCTCATCAAGTAGACTATACCAATAAAAAGGTAGAGCTTATAAAAAACCAACCAAACAGAAATTCCAGCTTTGAAAAATACAGTGACCAAAATAAAAAGTTCACTAGAGGGTCGGGGTGGGGGTTCCACACTGAGCAGATCTGAGCAGGTTGTGGAAAGCCTCGGGGAACTTGAAGACAGCCACCTGAGGTCATGGAGCCTGATGGATGGAGAGAGAACAGAGGCTGGGGGTCTCGAGGGACGCCGGCCGGTGCGACAGCACCCCCAGGATGAGTCTCAGAGGAGAGGAAAGGAGGAGAGAGAGTCTTTGAAAAAATAGGACTCAAAAGGTCTGAAATTTCATGGAAAACAGTAACGTACGCATTGCAGAAGCCCTGTCAGGACCCGCATGGAGCCCCCCACGTGGTCGTTGAACCATGAGGGCCAGAGGTTAGGAAAGGAGTGGGACAGAAGTGACGGCCAGCAAGACCAGCGTGGGATTTTTCACCAGGGATGGTGGAGGTGGGGGCTGGGGTGACGTGTTCAGGGTGGAACGAAACAGGCAGGAATTCGGTATCCAGCAAAAACGACGGTGACGGCAGCTCGGTGTGGCCGTGTGCCTCACGCTGTGGCGCCCGGGGAGGAGGCTGTGCGGGTGGCGGGCGCCGTTGTTTAGACCCGCCCCGTTCCGTAGTAAGCGGATGCTCACGTGGCAGGCTTCCGTCCCGTGAGGTGAGGCCCTGTCCCACTGCAGGACCCAGGTGGCCCGTCCATGAGGCGCAGGGGTTCGCAGCGGGGCTCCAGGGCTGTCCTTCTGTCACCTGTCAGCCTGCAGGGGCCGCAAGGGCTGAGGAGGGCCATCCGGGGCTGGGGGCAGGTCTGGTGGCTGTGGAGCTGTGCCCTGCCCGTGTCCTGGGGGGTCAGCAGGAGCTCTGAGCCCCCCGTGGTGGCGAGGGCCTCCCCTGCTTCCCCAGCTGCTGCTGCTGCCACTTGTCAAACAGGACAGACCCTTCCCTCCCAGGCCGGCCCGAGGAATAACCAGGGAGGGTTATTTTGGGGTGCTCGTAAGGCCGCTCTGGGGACCGCATACTCGTGGAGGAGGCAGCCTGGTGCGTTTTTCTTGCAGCATCCTCTTCGCGGACATCGTGGGCTTCACGGGCTTGGCGTCACAGTGCACCGCGCAGGAGTTGGTCAAGCTCCTCAACGAGCTCTTCGGCAAGTTTGATGAACTGGCTACGGTAAGCGCAGCCCCCGATGTTCGCGTGTCATTGGAGCAGCCTCGGGGGCTCCGGGGTTGCAGGTGCGACCTCGTGGATGCCGAGTGCGTCGGTCCCGCCCGGCTGTCCTCACCCACAGCTTCTGCATCACCGCCCGCGACTCCTTTGTGCAAAAGAGGGCGCTTGCCCGAGCGCAGCCAGGGCGCCCCGAGCTGGCCCCAGACCGAGGGTGGTGGCTGGGTGGGGAGGCCCTGCCCTGAAGGTCACCTCAGCCGGTTGGTGGCGTTTGACGATGCCGAGCCCCTTGCTGTGGCAGGAGAGTGCTGGCGTTTTAAGAGCTTCCTGGGGCAGGTCACGTGAAGGCCCGCAGAGGTCAAGCCCAGGCCTGGCTCCCTGCCTGGTGTCTTGGTGTGGAGGCAACGAAGTGCCTGGTGTCCTTGGACCTGGATGCCGGCCTCCCCTGCCCCACAAGGACGTGGGGGGACGCGGGGACGTACAGCCCCATCCACCGGCCCGGCCAGCCTGCCTCTGGACACAGAGGGGTCCTGGGCAGGTGGTTGGGGGGAGGGAGTTCGCAGACTGAGAACTCTTCACCCAGGGAAAGAACTTGGTAGAAAGAGTGGACGGATGTCCCCTTGATGAGGGAGGGGGAGGAGCGGTCCCCGGGCCAGCGTGCCTCGTACAGTGGAGTCCTGAGGATGTCCCACGTGCGTGCAGGGCTGGGGGAGGGTACCCCGCGGGCTGCAGAGCGCCGGGCGCCAGCATTCACCCTTGACCCGCAGGTGGAGTGGGTGGCTGTCACACGGGCTGTGCCTGGCTGTAGTTTCGGGACCAAGTCAGGAGGAGAGCACTGGGCCTCGGCAGCGGTGGCATGCGGCCCTTGGACGCTGCCCCCCGCCCTCCACCTGGAGTGTCCTCGAGGCTGGTCGAGATCTTGAGACGCCCAGTTGGGAGTTCGCCGCTTGCTCGGACTGGGCTGGCGCTGGAGGCCTTTCTCCTGGGGCACCCGCTGCTGTCCCAGGCCAGGGCTCTGCGGGGCCCCATGTGGGGAAGGCTGCTGGGTCTTTCCCGAGGATGAAAGGAGGGGGTCGGCTCTCTGTCCGTTGCGGGCGCTGCCGGGCCGTGAGGTGCCCTGGCAGCCTGGGCACGGGGGTGCTGGCCTCGTGCCCTGGGGAGCAGCTGAGGCTCGGCCTCCGGGGCCTCTGGGGCCTCCTCCCTACCTGACCCCTGTGGTTTTGGGGAAGCATGATGGAGGAGTCAGGGTGACGAGGCCCGTGTGGCGTGGGGGGCTCACGGACACGGCCTCCCATATTAGGGTCAGAACGTGTGTTTTGTCCGAGGCTGGGGTGCCTGGTGGCCCGAGGCTTTCTGGGTGCTGCTCTGAGCTTTCCGGGGCCTGCGCCTTTCCCCTGCCCCTCCACGAGGAAGCTTCTGGATGAGGATTCACTGGCCACCGGGGCTCTCTGAGGACAGGCTGCTGATGTGAGGGGTGTGCCCTCCCCCACTGTCCGAATCTGTCTTGCCTGGTACCGGAGGGGACGTGTTCCCTCAGTGACTCAGTGGTCAGCACTGCCACCAGCCTACCGCCAACCCCCGCCCCTGCTTGGGTCGCTTACAACAGCCCCCGCCCCAGGATGACAGGAGTCTGTAGAGTCTTAGCTTGTCCTTCCGCGGGCACACGGTTGGCAGATGTCTTCTCCCTGGCTTCAGCCAGTTTACTTAACGTGGCGCGTGACTCTGCGTGCAGCCCACTTCTCAGTATCCTCTCGTGTGGACCGTGGCATCCCCAGAGTGAGGGAGGGGTGGGCTGGCTGGCCCACTTCTGCTCGGGGTGGGGGCTACAGATGTGGGCCTCCCCTGACCGCAGGCTGTCCCCGGGATGCATGGTCTGGGTCTTGTTCTCGGCATGAAATGTGTGACGCGGGGGCTCGCTGTCCTGTCCCCTTCTTTCTTCATCAGCTCAGGATACATCGGGCTCACCCTGGCCCAGGCGGGGCCTCCCGGGCTTGCACCCCAGCTGCGATGTCACCATCCCTTTGCATCGGCACCCCACTCGGGGCTCACGCGGTGGACATCTGCTGGGCCTGCTCTGGGGACAGGACATGTTCCAAACACCTCTCAAGTCATCAGACTTGCCTTCCTGTTTTTGTTCGTTGAATTTATTCCTGGGTATTTTATTCCCTTTGATGCAGTTGTAAATACAATTATTTTCTCCGGTTTTCCGAGCATTCATTGTTTGTGTGCAGAAACACCACAGATTTCTGCGTGTTAATTTCACATCCTGAAAATTTGCTGAATTCGGTTATTAGTTCTGACAAGTTCTTGGTGGCATCTTTAGGGTTTTCTGTAGATATTAAGCCATTTGCAGAGAGAGAGAGTGTGTGATTTTCTTTCCGTGCCCGGTTGCTGAGGCTGGGACTTATGCTGTTGGATGGGAGTGGCCTCCCTGTCCACTCCTGACCCTGCAGGGGAAGCTCTCCTGTTCTCACTGTCGGGGCCGATGTGTGCCGTGGGCTTGGCATCCCTGGCCCTCACTGTGTCGAGAAACGTGCCGTGCACCTGCCGTGTTGGGAGTTTTTATCCTGAAAGGACGTTGCATCCTGTCAAATGCTTGTTCTGCATCTGCTGAGACCATCATGTATTTCTACCCTTTCTTCGGTTAATGCGATGCATCACATCGATCGATTTGTGGGTATCGAACCATCCTAGCATCCTGGGAACAAATCCCACTTGGTTGTGGTGTCCAATCCCTTTAATGTACTGTTGGAAGTGGCTTGCTCGTGTTTGTTTGGGGGGGATTTCTGCATCTGTGATCATTGGGGGTATTGGTATTAGTAAAAGATCCTCGTCTTTTCTGGTCAGGTCCAGTGGTTTTGGGTTCAGGGTAATGCTGGCCCATAGAGTGAATTTGGGAGCTTTCTTAGAGCTTAAGAAGTGTTGGTGATCTTCTTCAAACGTTTGGTAGCGGTCACTAGTGAAGCCATCCGGTCCTGGGCTTTTCTGTGTTGGGGGCTTCTGATCACTGCTTCAGTCTCCGTACTAGAAATGTCTGCAGATTTTCTGTTTCTTTATGATTCGGTCTTGGTAGGTTGAGTGTTTGTAGGGATTTATTCATCTCTTCTAGGTTGTCAGGTTTGCTGGTGTATAAGATGTGTCCCTTTTTATTCACTACCTGGCTCTTTCACTAGGACACGTGCTTGTGTGGGCTGCAGTGGGACGTGGTGGGACGTGTCCATGTAGCTGTGTGTGTGGGGGGCATGCACGTGTGTGTGGATATCCGCGAGTGCATTGCATACATGCATGAGAGCGTGTGCGTATGTGGCTGTGCACACAGACATGTGCATATGGACACGCTTGTTCACGTATATGTGTGCAGGTGTCCATGTGTGAGTATGTGCATGTGGGCTAAAATTTTTTTTAGATGTCTTCCTGTTATGTTTCTGAAGGATGCTGTTCTATGGCTTTCTTTCCTTGTGTCGTCTTCATGTGGAATCTTGGTCAGGCTGGTCTCCTGGAAGAGTTTGGGCATGTTTCCTCCTGTTCCACTTTCTGGAGATTTTCTTTCTGAAACTTTTAAACAATTCTTAAGAAAACTTATGTATTTGAGAGAGAGAGACAGAGCACGAGAGAGCACAAGTAGGCCGGAAGGGGAGAAGCAGGCTCCCCACTGAGCGGGGAGCCCAACTGGGGGCTCCCTCCCAGCACCCTGAGATGACGACCTGAGCGGAAGGCAGACGCTTAACTGACTGAGCTGCCCAGGCGCCCCTGGAAGTTTTTATGTACAAGTTCAATTTTTAAAAATAGGGCTATTGTATATATATATCTATAAAATCAGGGATTTTTTAAAAAGATTTTATTTATTCATTCATGAGAGATACACACACACAGAGGCAGAGACACAGGCAGAGGGAGAAGCAGGCTCCATGCAGGGAGCCCGACGTGGGACTGGATCCCGGGTCCCCTGGGCCGATGGCAGGTGCTAAACAGCTGAGCCACCCTGGGTTCCCTAGAATCGGTTTTTTTTATATGTATGTGATATATCCATATACGATATGCATATGTCCATATATCGGAGTGAGCTTTGTGTTTCTTAGTCTTTCGAGGAATCTGTCCATGTGAGCTAAGTCACCGAGATTGTTAGAATAAAGGTGTTTATGGTATTTCCCTGTTAGCTTTCTAATATTTGCAGAAGCAGCCGTGACATCACCTCCTCCTTTTCTGACTGTGATAATTTGTGCTTCCCTCGCTCTCCCCCATCATTCTGGCTGCATGTTTGTTATCAATTTTTGTAAGGAGTTTGCTTTTGGTTTCATTGATTTCTCTGTTTTATTGTTTTTCTCTGATTTTTTTATTATTGTGATTCTTGTGCGTTCCTTGTTTTTCTTTTACTCTTGTTTTTGTCGTTTGGGAAGATGGAAGCTGAGACTGCTGATCAGGATCTTCCCCTCCAAATGTGAAGAGTTGGTGCCGCAGACCAGGCGGGTGTCTGGCTAAGGTGGCATCCCCGCGTTGCTGAGACACTGTGTCCTCGTTTCCCCTCGGTTCAAGATGCTTTCTAATTTCCCTTTTAATTTTTGGTTACTCCCATGGCTTGCTTGTTTGTTTATTTATTTATTTATTTATTTATTTATTTATTTATTTATTTATTTATACTTTTTATTTATTTATGATAGGCACACAGTGAGAGAGAGAGGCAGAGACACAGGCAGAGGGAAAAGCAGGCTCCATGCACCGGGAGCCCGATGTGGGACTCGATCCTGGGTCTCCGGGATCGCGCCCTGGGCCAAAGGCAGGCGCTAAACCGCTGTGCCACCCAGGGATCCCACCCATGGCTTATTTAGAGATATGTTTTTTGAGGGATTTTTTCAAAGGTCTTTCTGTTTTTGAGTTCACATTGAATTCTGTTTTGGTCAGAAAACACATTTTATCAAAAATTTGAGTCCTCTAAGTGCATGGTTCAGAACACGGTGTCCTCAGGAACTGAGCAACAAGATGCACTGTGCTTCCCTGCCATCCTTGTG